AAGAGCGAGAGAGACAGAGAGAGAGGTAGAGTGAGAAAGCAAGCCACCAGGTCTGGGACTCAAACTGCGGTCGGCCATGTAGGAGTCCAGTGCCCTCAACCACCACGCCACCTGCCAGCCTCTCCCTGTATTATTCCTGATACTAGTAATTCGTCTTCTCTTTTTTTCTTTGTTGGCTTTGCTGGAAGTGTTACAATTTTACTCACCTTTCTTAGGAGCTAGCTCTTCATCTTATTGACTCTCTCTTGTCAGTTTCATCAATGTGCTCTCTCACCCCTATTATTTCCTTACTTTCGCTTGTTTGAGTTTATTTTACTCTTCTTTTTCTGGGAGCTTGAGATGGGAACTTAGAGTACTGAGTTAAGGCTTTACTTTTTTTTTTTTCTAATGTATGCATTTAGAGATATAAATTTCCCACTTATCTGTATCACACAAACCTTTATATGCCCCATTTTAATTTTACTCAGTACAATATTTAAATTTTTTTTTTTTTTTAGAGATTTTTGACTTAGGGTGTATATACTTGCCAGAGAAAGAGAGACAGAGACAGTGAGAGGAAAAATGAGAAATCATCCCCAGGGGGCTGGCCATGCTGCAATCCCTTCTCCTCTATTCTCCTCCTTGGATCTTGGGCTCATACGCACATGTACCTGGCGTGAGTTTCAAGTCACTGGGTTCAGGACTTGAACTGCAGCTGACCATGTGGGAGTCCAGCAACGTAACTGCCATACAATCTGCTGGTCACAGTATACTGTAATTTTTCTAAAGAATTATTTTATGTAACTTTATTTATGTATTTAACCAGAGAGGGACAGAGTGAGAGAAAGAGAGGGAGAGGGAGGGAGAGAGAGGGAGGGAGAGAGGGAGGGAGGGAGGGAGGGGGGGGGGGAGAGAGAGAGAGAGAGAGAGAGAGAGAGAGACACGAAAGGTGAGAAAACAAGCCACCTGGTTCAGGACTTGAACTGTGGTTGGCCATATGGGAGTCAGCACCCTTAACCACCACGTCACCTGCCAGCGCCTGTATTTTTTAAAATTCTGCTTGAGGCTTCTTTGACACAAAGTTTATGTAGACATATGTGATGTAGTTTCCAAATGCTTGGAAAAATTTTCTTTTTATCTCTGTTATTATGGTCAGAGAACACCTATGCTTGATTTAAATTCTTTTAAATTTGTTGAGGATATCTTGGTATACACCGTGAGCAACGTGTAAAGAATGAGTATTGTGCTGTTGTTGGACAGAATGCTCTTTCAGTGTTGGTTAGGTCCTTTAGGTTGAGAGTAATGCTGAGTTCTTCCATATTATTACGGTTTACCATCTAATTGTTCCATTAATTGCTGAGAGGGATACTGAAGTCTCTAACTATAACTATAAATTTGTTTCTTTCTGCTTTAAAATGATCAGTTTTGGGACCAACAGGTGGCATAGTATATACTCTCACATGGCCAACTGCAGTTTGAATCCTGGACCCAGAGGCTTGAAACTCATGCTGGGCACATGTGTGTGTGTCCAGAATCCTGAGAGGAGAATGGAGGAGAAAGGACTGCAGCATGGCCATTCCCCCTTGAGGGGTGATTTCTCACTTTTCCTCTTTCTCTGTTTCTCTCCAGTGAGTGCATGGGCCCTATAGCAAACAGACAAACAAAAAAAGACATCCATTTCAATCTATCTGTAGTATTGTATTGTACTGTACTGTATTGTATTGTATTGTATTGTATTGTGTAGTTTCTTTAGTGGCTTCTTTAGGTACCATATTATAGACACATAACCTGGTATAGTCTAGTCAACATTTGTTCAGTTTGAGTGAAATGCAGAGCCTTTACTTCCCTTCTCATACTGGTTTCATGCACAGTGTGCTGAGTGTTTGATTGCATTTAGTGGGAGGAGCAGAAAACTGCACACCTCCAGCCTCCCAGAGTGGAAATTCTACCTTGGTTCTGGATAGAATTTATTTATTATATTTAAAGTGTGAATAATTTAATAATTTTTAATAATGGATGTGATTAACAAGTTTCTTGCAATATTCCTTAAAGCTTGACCTTTGGCTCTTGTGAGTCAGGAGGTGTGGCTCCAGCACTGTCCACGCAGAAGTCTTGTCCAGGATGCTCAAGCCAGGGTTGGGGGAGGAGACATCTGTTACCTGGATTCTGCCCATAGGTGTCTGGCCAGGCAGAGTCAAGGCTCTGGAAGTGGGTACTGCTTTGAGGGATCCACCATGACTCCCCTGAGTACTGATACAAGACCCACTGGAATGGGTTGGGAGGGAAAGAAGCCATGAGAAGGAATGGGGAGGAACCAGTTACCTTTTCAGTCACAAGCCTTTTCTC